TATATATTGAAGAAAGTGAATACTTATGTGGCAGATGACATAATTATTCTATGCATAATGTCGTAGAATTACTTGTATTGCATTTGGAAGCATGGTGTTAGGGACTCGGGATCGATATCGCAGATGATCCTGATAAAATTTAAGTTGTTTTTATAACCAATGGTCCAATTTTTATTTTATCTCAAAAAATAAAGTTATCTTTCTTTATGTCTGGCGACCTCTTATTAGCTATTTTATAACTGGGTTTTACCTCAAAAAATAAAGTTAACTGTCTTTATATCTAGTGACCTCTTATTAGCTATTTTATAACTGGGCACGCAAGCTTTATGTTTAATTTTAAATGCTTATCTCTCATTGCACAATCGAAACACTTGGGGCTCTATCTCTATGAGTGCTGCCAGAAGTTGTTGATGGCTGCCTCGATTGCCAATTTTCCGTCATGTGGGCCTGATGTTGATCTTTATTTTCCAACCTTCAGAAGAGTTACCTGGGCACACATAATCGAATATACTGCTGTATTTGTTATATCAGCTTGATTTATGAATCCTTTGTTACTTGAGTTGTCAACGAAGAAGTTGTTTGTTGGGGTATCTAAAATTTATTTTCTTACTCTGTACAGGGAAATTTGAGAATCGAGATTGACCCATAAGATGAGCACATATATGAGCAGATTGTTTTCAAGATCTAATTCGAGTATATTCTTGCAAAGTGGTACTGCTTTGCAGTCCGAAGTTCTACGCTTAAGGGATGAAATGTTCTTGGTGGATGCAGGAATTGGGACCCCAAGAATTTGCACTCAAGATGAGCTTATAGGAAACCCAAATACCAAATGGCCCACAAGGTTTGAAAACCGGGTTGGGTATCTCGATCGTGTGTCAGGTGAAACACCAGTCAAAAAGCAAATCTTGGAGCGTTGCTTCGTCGATATGGTGACAGGTGATTCTGCAATGAAAGAGCGAGCCGCTGTTCGGTTCAATGATATAGTGGGACCCACCGATTCCGTTTCTGGTGAGCCGCTTCTCCTTCCACGAAGGTTCAGAAAAAACCAAGCTTGGACGGAGCTGACCAAGATTTGGCGGAGAAATTCAAAGGTCAGAGGCTTCATAGCGGAGAAAGTCAGAGGAGGCTATTCAGTCGCCATTGCAGGTTACATTGCTTTCCTGCCAACCCGTCCTATGATAAACAGAAGGGTTCCGAGTGACCAATTCATCATTGAGAGCATCAACCCGAAAACCATGAAAATTGTTGTTGTGAGAACTTGACAACTGGTTCCCATTGCAATTCGTACTTTTGGAGTCGGAGATCGAATTTCTTTATTTGGGATTTGTTTCTTTTTCTCAAATAATAACCAATGTCAGTCGCACATTTTTGGCTTGTTTGGTAGTGTACTTGATCGTACTGGATAAGAATAAATTTGATCCTGTAGTGGATACCCATTTTGGGTCGTCTTCGTTACCTGTCAATCTAAATTTGTTTCATTATATCAACGAGTGTAAGAGTAATTCCTCGTGCAAATCCACAAATGCATATAAATATTTGTTTGGGAAGAATTAAAATTGAAAATATAGCTGTTATTGAGTTTACTCGTCTAATTAAAGTTAGCAATAACGACTAATTTTTCAATTTTAATTCGATTTTAATCTCTACCAAACACTCTAAAAATATTCTAATGCTTTTCCTGCGACAATTATAGTAAAAATTGAAAATTCATGACATCCAACATTTCACGCTATTGCATCGTGTAATGGAAGTTAAATGTGCATAATACCTGATTAGTCACCTAGATGTAATAAAAATTACAGATCCCGTAACAACGAAATGCCGTGAAACATTAAATCATGTTTGCATTCGGATTTTTTTTTTCTTTACAAAATACTCATCTTTAATGATTTAATTTCTCATTTTAAAGCCTTTTCGACAAGTCCAAAGACATGATTAACTTTATTAAAATAGTTAAAAGTAAAAATAGTAGGGGAATTCAGAAGACTCTCATCAACATGCAAAGCTCTTAAAATATTTCAACGACCTAAGAGAAATGTTAGATGAACATAAGGGTTGACATAACATTTGACACAACAATTATTCTAGTGGTACATCACCACTTACACAAAAGTGTCCATAATGGACACCCGACACCTTCTCATTGGAGGGAATGTCGACCCCACCAACCCTCCCTCCAATGAGGAGGCGCCAAATGTCACATTATGGACACCCCGATGTAAGAGGTGATGTACCTCTAGCATCTCCCTTGACACAATTGCCAAATGTCATTTGGCAATTGTGTTAACCCTTATGTACATCTAACATTTCTCCTTTTGGCATTACATATATACCAAATTCTTAATGCATATATATCTTTCTTTTTTTCAGAATTGTTTCCTCGTAATTTTCTCTATATCTGTAATTCAAACAAGAGGAATTTATTGGATAAATTTTATTGGTCAAGTGGATGAAAATCGTCTGCCCAGAACCAACACGGAAAAAACTTCAAAGGATTTGGGACGATGCTGCCCAAAAAAAAAAAAAAAGATCGGAGACCTCTGGTACCATATTTCGAAAAGAAGGCTTAAGAACTCAACTCGGAAATGAAAACAGAATATATTTTCACATTTCCTACATTTGTTTTAGTAATATCACTTGTATACACGCAGGTACAGAAAATGAAATCCAGTTCAAGTCCATCACCCCAACTTTCAAAATAAGGGCATTAATACTTGACTAAGGGAAATGGATGAGAGAACAATCTACATATTTAGCTAGGTGCCTGCTAACAATAACTAAGAGCAGAAATCCATGCTTGTCTTTAAATACAGTTCCTAGCAGAAGTATGGCGACCAAGATTTCAGCTTATTTTTCTGCTTAATACCATCTAATTCACCTTACCGAACATGCTAGTATAATTTCTTACTGAAGTTCCATTATAGTAAATCCTCCCCTGCCAACGAAAATAACTCAGGATCTAGTAACAGTTAATCACTTATGAATAATTTAATTATAGACAAACTTACGCAGCTCATCGATGGAAATATTGCTCATATTTTCTCTCGCCTTGATAAGTCGAACTCTCCCTGCAATAGTAATGCATGAAATGACAAAGCTGATATGAGAAGAAAATACAGAGAAAAGTAAAAGCTAAATTGTAGCATTGTCTAGAATCAATAAATTGTACCGAACTGATAATTCCATGCCATCTATGCACTTACAATCTTTACTAGTTCGAAAGTGTATATTTATAAACAAACTTAGAAATGCATTGCCAATTAACAGGATATTTTTTGAGATTATATTATGCATAGAATTCAACCTGCTACTAACTTGTTAATGGAACACGAAGCAACACACTTTTTATGATTTCTTCTTGAAAGCATTTTTTTTTATCCTTGTATTGTACATCAGAACCCTAATCCATTGAATCGATGCCTACAGTGTTCCTATTTACTGAAATGTCTCCAACGATCGACTTAGATGACGTAGTTGCTGTTAATCATTATGATACTTTAATGATAGCAGTAAGCACATAAGTTGTCAACTGCTATAGGTTCTATATTCCATAACTAATTTGATAAAACTTTTCTTCCTGTGCATGAAACAACATCATCAACAAACTAAGCTTGTTCCACAAATTCGAAAGGAACATTCAGTAGTTGACAAAGGGAGCATCATCTTTACTTCAATTTCAACAACAAATGCTCATTCTATATCCAAAAGAAAAACCATGCATATAAATCGTCTACTTTGAATTCAACTCTCTCTCTCTCTCTCTCTTACAAAAGAAAAGCTGCATATTCTCATGCAACAAAGAGCAGATATTGTAACTAACCTAGGTCTTCTAGAAGCTAACCTTACAGTGTTTGAATTAATAAGTACTTGAAGGTTTTACCTGTTTGCATCATAATATTAGTTATAATTTTCTCGATTGGATTGTTGGGACATACTTAGATAAAATATATCTGTCACCATCATTTCTGATAAGTGTGATGAATTACATCTAGCTTATGTCCATTAGAGAAACTATGAGATTATATAAGACATTTTTATTTATTAGTTAAAACAATCTGCCTGCACTAGGTTGATTGCTTTAATTAAAAAGCAACCAGTTTTAGTTTATCTTGCTTATGGATGTGCCTTTTGATCTCCAAATGCATATTTATAGTTGTCTAAAATCCAAAATTGTGATTGGTTTAGCAATTGCTGAGGTAGAAAACTTCCTAGCTGTCAGTTCTACTAAATTAACATTTATAATCCTTAAGTTCATAGATTCATCTTTAAAGTCGTTATATCTCAGAAAAAGGAACCACTAGTATGAATTAGGGACAGATAAATGCGAATAGATAGACATAAAGTGCTTGAATAAAATGGAAAAAGGCGTGAACTTGAGTTATGCTCCATCACAACCCATAGTTTACATTTATTTCATTAGACTTGCAGTTTAAAAATCAAACTTCAATGAAAATGGATTTCTTGATGCCAAATCCATGTCTAATAGTTATCTCTCATGATTTGCCATGTACCAATTAATTTCTTCTTGTTGTCAGCAATGTTTTGCTGTTCAGTAATTTTTTTTATTTATGATCAGTTTGCCTACCCTACTCTTCAGTATAGGTTTAAGATTCTCACATAATAAATTGATCGAGACAAATTAGATATACGTACCATCACGACGCACACAAATTTCCGGTATGCTTTTTATTTCACCATTGATACTGTCGTTGTAGACTCTAGTTTCAATATCACCCTCAACATAAACTGAAGAGCTGAAAAGGAGCTCTATTTATTAGACAGGCGTGATAATTACAAAAATATGGCTCAATTGCAATCATGGAACCCTACTTTTTCATAAGTTTCTGAACAGCATAAGCCCCAAGCATTTCATTATGTACAGCAATGCGATGCCATTGAGCTGGTTTTGGCAAGTCTTTCTCTCCAACAAGCCTCTGATCAAACATTCCCCCAGTTCCCACGGTGAAAATAGTTACAGTTCGGCCATTTCTCAAGATCTTCTGGACTGGGGATTGCCCAACTTTTCCACATATAATAGCCTGGAAAATAGACAAATCTTAAATGAGTATCCTCATTCAGAATGAAAACGAAGAATGAAGCATTGCAGCCATCAAAGGGGGAATCGAGGATGAGAAATTAATGTTTAAAGGAATGTCCAAGTCAGACAAAAGTGTCTGCATTCAGAATTCCATAATATTTCACAATCTAAGGTCCAGAAACTGAAAAATCTACGAGTCCTATTCAGAATTCCACACTTATTCTTTTACCAGAATAAATCAAAATTTTCTAACACAGATTGTCATCACATTGCACGTCAGGTAGAAATTTATTTTACCTTAAAAGCTTCAGAGTATACCCTCCCCAAAATTCACCATCAAGAAAAGGATTAGTAAAATGCGCCGCATGATATGAACTAGTGTAAAATGTCAGAACAAATTATATTATATCATACAAAAAATGACAAAAAAGGCACTCCCGTCAGTATCAAAACAATGATCTCATTCCTATCAATACTAAATATGGCAATTTAATCCTGAAAAAATCCACTATTATCTTTCCTTATTCAATATAATGCTCCAATACCCTGTGGACACCACGGAAATTCCAGCCCTTTCTCGGATCAACGCTCTGCAGTTGCAACTCGGGCCTCTCGGGAGGAAAATCATCATCGACCTCCACCTCAACATTAGGGCTTACAACCTTGTCACTGTCATTGTCAGTCTCGGTTGAGAAAAACAACTTTGAGCTCCCTTCCACACCCATCACTACAAAATTTCATCACAAACACAAGAATAAGAAAAGAAATAAAATCCACTCCAGAATGTACAGAAAAGAACACAACACCAACATATATATACTGATGCTCAACATTGCCTATCAACTGTTCGATGAAAATCCTCAAAGAAACTATTAGCACGCAGTTTGCAAACACGTATAAAATTATTTTAGAGCGTTACCGAGTGAAGAGGGTCTGATGGAAGGAGAGATTCTGAGGAGCTTGAGGAATTTAGGAGCGAGTGAATTCATTGTTTTTTTTCCGGAGAAAAGTATCATACAGTGAGTGTCAAAGTGAACAAAATGAAAGGGTACAAGAAGGGTTTAACAACGGGTCACTTGACGGGTCCAGATGGATTTCACGGGTTTGGTTCAAGGGTTAGAGTATTTAAAGGCCGTACACCCACCCTTACATTTAAATTTTTAACTTTATAAAGAGATTATGAGTTGGTTTCGGCCCTTTTTTTATTCAAAATACATTTTGTAATAGTATTTTGATGAAAAATATATGATTAAAAAATAATAAAAGATTTTGAATTTACGTATTATTTTATTAAAAAATGTATAGTTGGAAATAAGAAAGAAAAATATATTTTGAAAATAATGAGAACTAAACTAGGGCTATAGCTACTTTGCTTCAGAAATTAGATTATAATTATTTTTTAATTTAAAATATAAATAACAATTCCCCAACTAATCACCCTACCCCTTGCAAATCCCCAGCCCGACGTCGACGTTGTTGCTGCAATAGTAGTGTTGTCTCGCGATGCACCTAAGAGAAAAATTAGGGAGGGGTTAGGGTTTTTTGGAGTGATTTTCTCCTCTTCCGATTTGATCTGCTTAGCCAAACTTTTGGGGTTTGCTTTTGTTGGTGGTGGTCAGGTGTTTTACAAATGTGATGGTGGTGCTGGCGACGAGGTGTCGCAACGATTCAGTTGGGAGTGGGTTTGTGTATGATGAGATGAAGAATGTGTGTGACCTATAAAATGGTGGGCAATGATACAGTACCAGGGCCACGTAGGCCCTAATAAAAGAGAATTATCCTAAAATAATTAATTTATGACAAATAAATAATATGTGACCAATAAAATTACTCATGACCAATAAATGATATATGACCTAAAAAAGTGATATTGCGACTAAATTTGTAGTCATGACTTACAATTTGTTAAGTTGTGATCAATTAATTTGATAATTTATAACCGTGGAAATTTGCGATTTGATAATTTGTGATCGATAAATAAATTGTGACCTATAAAATTTGTAATTTGTGACCGAAAAAAAATGCGTGACCAATTAATTTCATTATTTATGAGTGATAAATAAGTTGTGACGCAAAAGATTTATGATTTGTCATTGCGACGTTCTGTTATTATGACTAGTACGTAACTGTGATCATAAATTGTAATACTGTGACCTTAATATATTCAATTATCTATTTAATTAATAAATTTTAATTATAACCTAATTTTTGAAATTTTAAAACATATTTCTTAATTTTGAAGTTGTATGTGTTCCCTTAATGTTTTAAAATTGAAACGTGAAAATGTATATCAATGGGCGTGGATTGCACCCTAGGAGAGTGCAAATGGCGAGTGGAATGGTTTACTTCTTTTAAAACCCGAGTTCGCATACTCCCTTTCCACATGCAAGCAAGCAACACGCACAAGCAAGCACGCCTTTTATCTGCTCGATTCATTCTACCACAAACTCATGGATCAAATCGAGCTCGAATTTTGAATAGGCAAGCTGAGCCACGCTTAACAATTAAAGCATGTAGGCTTGAACTGTTTATTTAATTAGGTGGCTCAACTCATTCCACCACAAGTTCACGTATCGAGCCAAATTTGAATTTCGGCTAGGTAAGCTGAGCCATGCTTGACAAGTCGACTGTTCTTGGTCCATTATCACCCCTAGTCACTCATAATAATAATAAAGGTCCTTGTAAATAGGGTTTCTTGAAATCTCGGGGAAACGTGTAAATCCTTCAAGATTTGTTCATGGCCAAAATATTAACTGATTTTTATCTCTTACCTTATCCAAGATTTATTACTAATTTACCCCTTTTTGCACACATTAAAATTGGAAATTAAGGGCATTTATGGAAAGAATATGAACATGCTTAAACAAATTCCCCAAGAATAGGACATTTTGGAAGCTCCACTTCTTCCTCAATCGCCCCAACTACCCCAGCCCACCACTTTTCCTTTTCACTTCTCAAATCCAGTAACTTGGAGCAAGAAAAAAAATGGTAATTTTCTTGAATAAACAGATGAAAATGAAAAGGGAAAATTCTTTTCACAAAAATCCTCATGATGATCCTAACATTATTGGGAGCAGTCTACCTCAACCAGAAATAAGAGTCAAATTTCCCAAGTTACTGATGAAATCCATGCAGAGAAGAAGAAATCATAGGGGCAGTAATGGAAGCAACGTTGATCAAAAGGAGGCGACCGAAAACGGGGATTTTCTTCGAAAGAGAATAAGTTTTATCACTTTGAGTGCTTGTAGCAGCAAAAAGGCTCAAGAAATGTCTTCATCAGGTAATCAACCACTAGAAATAGACAATGCAGATGATTCAATTTTGAAGAATATTCAAGATTCATGTGAAGAAAAAATCCATGGAGAAAATTCTGGTGAAGTTGATAAGAAACTTGTGGAAATGCCCACAAAAATCTCCAGATTTATCAGAAAGAGGATTGGTGTCCCTTTTAGGAAATTGAAGCTTGATGAAAAAAGCAATGATGAAGCCAGTCAGAAAAAATGTTCAAAGAGTCTTGATGAATTTCGACGCAAAAAGTCTATTTATAGAAGGATTACAAGTGGAAAGAGCGTACTGGAGAAAGTTTTAAAATGTGATGGAGGAGAAGAAGAGGAGGAAAGAAGTGAAGTGGAGTTATGCAAGAAGAGAATTCTAATGGGAGAAAAGTGCAGACCATTGAATCTCTCTGGTGTCCTTCATTATGATACAGATGGAGTTTTGTTACCTGAAGAAGTCCTATGACAAATTTGATACACTCGACTGAACATTGCTAGGAAATCTTGTTCGTTGTAGTGTTCGACTGTGTGTACATACCATTATTCTCTTTTGAACATTTACTCATCAATCTTTATTCCACAGGAAAAAATGATTGCGAACAAATATGTTTTTTCTAGACTGGATAAAAAAAAAATTAGTCTAGCAAGAAAAATAATTAGGGCTGCAATTCTTGTATCAGTAGAGTTCTACAAAGAAGCAACCACTTAAACCCAAGCAACCACTTAAACCCTAAAAAATTAACATAGTATAAAATAATATATTCTCTATCACACACACACACACACACCCGGACGTGTGTGAGACTTGGGAATCTTCAAAATGGAAGTTACTAGTTGAATTGGTGGTTCTTGATTTACATTGTTACTAGTGGTGTATTATTGCGCGTAGCCATGTATACTTACAAAAAAACTATCAAACATGAAAATTCTTACAACCTTGAAGAACGTATGCTTCTTCACCTTTGTCTTGTTTGCCATAGGGCCTTTTTGGATGTGAGTATTTCCAGAAGTTGAAGATGGTGAACTCAGGAAATGAATGACTTCAAAATTTCAGTCATTCGTTGAAAAAAATGAGGTTTGGAAAATCAAATTTCTTGTTTACCATTGAATATTTCAGTATTTTATTTTATTATACATGTTAATTGGTGTTAGATGACTCGATATCTAAATGCAAATATGTATATTTTTTCATTTCTTGAATATCTTAATGCAGAGATGTTTCCACCGTAAAAAGATTATGTCTCAGCTACTTTTGCTTCTGGGATTGGGAAGGGCTAGCTTGCTGCACAAGTCTACCTCCCAAAGCAAGTTATATCGTAATTATATGTATTTTTTTTAGAGATTTTTTTTTTCTCTTACCATGATTTTCTCAATTATTCCATTTAATCAATCGACTATTTATTGATTCTAAATTCTTAAGTATTCACAAAATCAACAAGTTTTGATCAGCCCCTTCTGGAAGACATTCCCAAGAAGGATCATACTATATATACATAAAGATCGATACATTTGTTTACACCCACTTAAGTTGACAAATTTTGGTATATTGAGAGGGTGTCAATCAAGTTATACACTGTCTACAAATAATTTAATCCTCCCACCAAAAAAAAAAGAGTAAACAACAGTAATTTACAAAACAAATACAATTTCAAAGTGGTGAAGGGTGAAAACGAGTTGGAATGTTTATTCCTCGTCTACAAATCATCAGCCCTTTCCGCAGAGTAATTTCTCAACGAAAAGTATGGATCATCGACTTTGATAAATGAAAAAAGAAATAATAGAAACATTTGCCAAGTAATGTTGAGAAAATATATGTATATAATTTAATGTTAGGAAACCAAGACACAAATGTTGCAGGAAACTACGTAAATCTGTGGCCATGTCAAATCTAAACTTCAAAGTTGACACAAAATGGACTTAAAATCTACACTGTATAATACACGACAAATTTCGGCTAAACACGAGAATTCATCTTTGGGGTTGATCAGGGGCATGGTTGCTAGCAGTGGATGAAGAACCTGTCCTACCATTCATTATTCCGTTATCGGCTGGAGGAAGTATCCCCCACTTGCCTTCCGATTCTGTCGGTTCCAACACTTTAACAGACCCATCAGTTAACCCGACAGCAAATTGGTTGGGCTCCTGTGGATGTGCTGCAACGACGAGCGGGTAGATGGCTTGGCTGCTGAGAAATGAATTAAACACGGTTCATTATACACCACTTCTACCAAGTGATTACAACAATGGACAGATATTTTATATTGTGCATTATGAATTATAGTGCATGTTTGGCTAAGCTTAAAAAGTTCACTTAAATAAGTTAAATTATAAATAATCTTTTCATTGGTGAAAGTTGGAAATGCGATAGTTTGAAAACAACCCTTCACTTGCTGCCAATAAATTCATTTATAAGAAAACAGTAGCGTGCAAACATGTTGGGAAACCGTAATTTACTTCAAATGTAAATTGATTTCTTTTACGCTTAGCCAAAAAGTAAAGCAATGCAAGGAAGTTCAAGTCAGTGTAAAACAAAGCTAGAAGGCCATAGACAAGAATGCATATGGAAAGTGGCTCTGAAGGCGCCAGAATAGCAATCAATTCTGGGAGGTGAATTCCAACTTCATACAAACAATAGATTATTTCTGCACCTTAAATATGACCATGATAAAATGTTGAAAATTTCTCTATATGCAACCTATGCAAGGGCGAGGTTGAGAAGATGACATTAAGAAGTCATAGAAGGAGTAGATGGTATTCTCACCCGTTTACTACTGCCTGGGATAAATACGCTGATGGGGCAATGCGACATCTTAATCTTAGGGAATCGGCATCAAACACACCAATGTTACCATCACAAAAGGATGCATATACTAGTTGACTGTTGCAGGAGTAGACCGCACATGATATAGGTGCAGAAAGGGGGTCTTGTGGGATCCACTGCAGTAGACAGTATCCATAAGATTCTGCCAACGATACAGGCAATTGAAAAGACAGATATTTAGGTATCCAATTACCTGACGTATTCTCTCCATCTTGGAGGCATCATATATTGCTAACTGAGTCTCGTGGGATACCAGCAAGCGAATTTGGTCAGAATGGAATTGTACCCGACTGTCACCATTAGGTGCTTTGCCAGCAGGCAATTGTATCGGAACTCTCTCTCTCTTCTCCCACGTATCAATGCTCCAGGTGCAAAGCTGCAACAAAGAGCCATGTTATGACAGGAAAACCACACAATTTCCAACACCCAAAACCTCACCCTACTCCGATACCGTGTTGAACCATCTCAGCTAAACAGTTGAGCTATTATAGAGGGGACAAACTTATGTATTGTATGTCTTTTAGAGAAGGAAATGATGAAATTGGATGGCCAAGATAATTGCAGTTGAATCAACCATAGCTTTCTTTATTAACCCTATCTTTAAGACTGAAGCATATAGTTGACAGTTGGAATAGAAAGTGGACAGGTAGTTGCCAAAAAGCAAAGATGAAAAGGCAGAAGCATATCAATCTTATTTAGGGCTCGTCTGGGAGCGCTTGTAATTTGATTAAAAGCTATTTTTTTACCGTTGCAGACCACGACGGTAAAAATTTCACAAAATGGACTAAAGAACGTGTCAGAGGAAAATTCCCTTTATGCCCTCCATTAATTATCCCTTGTTGAATTGGTCAAATGTGTGTCATAACATTTCAGTACATATCTGCAAAAGTGAGGGCAAAATGATAATTGAGCCATGTAAATTTATAGAATGACCACAACCTGCAGGCACGTGGCAAAAAGTAAAGGTTCAAAAATCGATTCCCATTTCGTGAGAATTGCGCCCAGACACACTCTTAGTTTTATTTCATTGTTTCTAATCCATATCAACCATGTATTGCATCTGTGATCACCGATCATGCCGAAAACAACAAGTTTGACAATTTTTGAACAATGGTCACAAGGAAAAAAATATTCTCCATAATCCATCTTTCAACCACCAAACAAATCAAGAAGACAAGAAGGGGAAGCTTACTTGAGCATCAGCACCAGATGACACCAATATGTTGAGGTTCGTTGAAAAAGCCAAACCAGTGATGCGCTTCTGGTGGCCTTTCAGTTTCGATTTCACCTATTGCGGAATCAAATAAATCATCTTTGGTTATTTAGGCAACACGAGAAGGCATAAACACTTATTTTGACATGTCATCAAACAGACAAACTGATTTACCTCATCAACCCTAACGTTATAAATGTGGATGGTTGAATCCTCCATACCAATTGCTATAATGTTGTTATCTTGTGGGTGGAATGCTAAGAAGGTTGAAGCAGGTGGAGGTGGCATAAATGCTGTCATCACCTATATGTCAACAAACTAAAAGCTTATACCAAACCATCTATGCACCCATGTTAAATGGGTAGAATGCTAAGAATGGGGAACACTGGAGCAAGCATACTTTAACATACCTTAAATGTCATCATGTTAAATAATGAAACTTTTCCACCAGCAGCAGACATTACGTAAGAATCATTCTTTGACAGAGCTATGCATGGAACCGCTTCCTCAAGGTTGATACCTGAGACATCATTGGTCATAAGAAGACCACTGTTTGGATGCCAATGCTGTGGAACGACATTGGCAGTGGCCTATAACCAGAGCATACATCAGAAGTTAACTCACAAAACAATCAAACAGGAATGGGATAAGGGGAGAAAGTAAAACATGTCAAGACATCCATATTTGTCAAAAAAAAAATTGTTACCTTTCCACTAGGGTTTTGCTCATTGCGGACCCACTTCCACAGCTTCTGGACACCATTTGAGCCAAGAGCCAAGATGCCAACACCAGAATTTGTATAAAGTAGCCGGGCAACCTACACAAAGTACACCAAAAACTGAATCATATACCAATCATTACATATATCATACAACCAAAAAACAAAAGATAGAAATTGACATACCTTGTTAGCAGCATCACTGCTCTCTGGCATTGTTACCTTGCGGCAGTGAGCAGGATCTATTATTTCAGTCAACTGCCAGGGTTTAATTTTGTCAGTAACTTCATCCAATGTCTTTGGTTTCTCCATGTTCCTGGCTATGGAATCAACACCGTTCTGAAAAGACAAGCCCAAAAAATTGAGATATAGCTCCTCGTCAGAAAGCAACTAACTTAGATGCAATAGGTTAGAAAAACTCCTCCGAAAGGAAAAAAGAGAATGAATATAGTAAATTATTAAGTCCTTTAAACTGGCATATTAACAGAAAATTTAACCAAAAGTAAATAATATACAAAAATATTAAATCATCGACTCAGGCATCAACCTCGTCGTTGAACTGGACAAGCCTTGTAGGTTCAACTAGTAGGTTAATGGAGGATCATAATTCTAATTAAAAATATTTCATCTATGAAAAGGTGATGTATATATTACCATATGGTAGAAACTTAATGTGCGTCACAAGTTAATTAAGTGTAATATAAGTGGTGTAATTAAAAAATGAAAAATATTAAAATATTGTTAATTTATTAACAACTTATATCAAAGATATATTACAAGTTCATTTCTTCTCTCACTTCCTTAGTATATTTATAGTTGTATTATACTATTACATAATATTCAATTTTTTTCGTTTCTCAAGAGTTTATTCACTAAAATCTTAGTTTTACAATATAAGATAGATTGTGATCAATATTTTGGTTGCACATTATATTGCTTTAGATATACCAGTAAAGAACCTGTTTGGGCTTAACCAGTTCCAGTTTCCTCCCAAACCTGCCTGGTTCAGATGCTCTTTGACTGTTTCGTAGTCAAAAGCTCCATATGTGTAATCCACACAGGAATGGCTGTTCACTGGTTTTCAGGCCAAACCGGTCTACTTTCAGTAACTATGCTTACACAGGTGCCCATATTATAATGAATACCCTCTGGCATTAAGTACATCATGCAGTGATGGTGAACACTTTAAAAGAATCTTTTCCACCAAAGAAAGGAAGAAAAGATCTAAAAATGTGTTGGCAGCTGATGCGCACAATTGTAGATTAAACTAAACTCTGGATGTCCTAAAAAGAAGTGGAAGTTTGACATACAATGATGGGAGATGTCCTGACAGGAGAGCTTTTTTCTACTTTAGGGGCGACATTTGCAACTGAAGAACCAGAAGCCTGCTCAGAAAATAGAAAGTTCTTTGTAACTAGATGTGATAAATATTCGGCTAAAGATCAGAAAAGAAAGAAAATGGAACCTTGATTGCAGCTGCTTCCATGGGAGATCTTAATGCTTCAAATGGGGCTTCAACAGTTCTTAAGGATCTCATACCAGTAGCATTTGCAAGTATCTTGATTCCACTGTCTGCGGTAGTAACAGCGAGCAGATTCCCTTCCTTGTTAAATCTCAAGCGTGGAAGATTCTGCAGCAAAAAAATGTCCAGCAACTTATTAAATACTTTGTTTGAATCCTCTGAGGCAGTTAAAGGGAGCACGAGTTTATCTGGTTGTCTATTCATTAACTCAAGATTACAAAATAAAATATTCTACTGACCGGAAGACCACCATCTGCATCTGTGCTCGTAAGTATATTGGTATTATCCATATCCCAAAACTTTATTTGACTATCTTCACCTACAGCCAAAAAGTGATTCTGAGTTGTGTCAAACTGCACAACACCAGCTGATTTCTTTCTAAACCCATTATATGTCCTCTTTATCGCTCCTTCACTTTCATTCCATTCCACTAGAAATGAATCCCCATCTTTGCCTGTTCCACAAGAGAACAACCTAAAAGGTATAAAAGAATCACCATAGATGAACAGTTAGAGGATGACAAGTCATTTGAACTCTAGTTGACAACAAAAGAAAAATATGAAAAAATATGAAGTTATTAGAAGCAGTAAGACTAACTCAGAGACAAGAAGTCCCGAAACATACCGGCTTCCATCTGCACTATATAGCATAGTGGTACACCAATGTCCAGGAGCATCATAGTCAACTCTAGATCCCATATTGTCATAAAGCCAAGCTTTAATTTTCCCATCAATAGCAGTTGAGAATATGAACTGCAAACACACGAGCATAAAATGATATCATACTGAAAGTTGTTATTGCCTAAACCTAGAACGTGAAAATGTGTCATTGTATTGTGAAAAGAGAAGAAGTTTAGGAGATAGAGAAGAGGTTTGGAATCTTATAAATTCTGATCAAGCTTTTCTCCTTTGCATTATACCTGAATATTCTCTTTCTGATGAGGGCAGATAGAATAAACAGGTGCTTCATGCCCTTCAAAGCTGAATAGTTTTCTCCCCGTTAGATCCCACACCTGTATCAAATTCTCTCCTCAGCTTTTTTGCGAAAAGAATCAGAACTTAAGCTTGCAGAAAGGACATCCAAAGTTTTCAACTCACCTTTATCAACTTGTCATCCCCACATGTTACAACACATAGCTGCTTGTTTGGATGAGCAAAAGCAACATCATTCACTCCTCCAGTATGAGCATCAATCTGCAAGCGCAATGTAAATCAAGTTTTTTTGTTACAGAATTTTATTTGAACGATCACACAAAACCATTACTACATGCCTCCAGATGTTGGCGTATATCATTTGGTCCCGCATAGGCATATAAATGGACCAAATGCTTGGAAAACGCAGCTCCTGCAACAAGAAGAAATATAAAATAATAATTTTCAAACACCATTTTTTTTATGCACTTTATAAGGCATAGTATATACCAAAGACAAACACTTACCACAAAATGTCCCATCAGGGCTCCATGTAACACGGGTCACCGAGAAAGGTGCATCTTTCGCTGCTGAAGCCTGTTCAAATTCAGACTACTTGAGATCTAACATAACCAGAAGAGTAGCCAGAATACAGACAATAAAAATTCAATTCGAAAATTTTCTTACAAGAACCAAAAATTAGGATGCGCATCATTATATTTCATCAAGAGAAAACCTTTAGATTATACAATTGTTATGGAGAACAAGAAATCAATGAATCAAATTACTTTCACAACTATCATCTTCAACTTCCATATTGTATGATAGAAGTGATTATAGAAGTTTACGCATGAACCTGAAATGTCAAACCACAAGATTGCATTTCCCAAATCTTAAATGGCTTTGAGACCAACTTCTCGCGCATTCCAACTTCCCAAAGCATTATTTCGCCATTATTGCAGCCAACTGTAGAAGATATATTCCAAGTTAAACAATGGAAAACAATAGGTATTAACTGCAGTTGACCCATTGGTTTAGGAAGAAAAGCAATACAGTTTGAAGATTCTCGGATATGTCATACCAAGAAGCAGTGTATGGTGTGAAGGATGAAAGTCCAGGCTTACAACTGTGGATCCTTGATGTAATGTAAAAGCAACCATTCTCGGCAGGTCATCAAGGGACCAAGATGCTTGCTGACGAACTGTAGGATATGTAACCTGGATAAAAGAAAGAGGAGGTGGAAGTTACAGAGAATGTCCTTATTTTCGTCAAATTGGTCATATTTAAGAAACAACACAAAATTACCTCTTCAACAGACTGTGCAGGACGCAAACGCTTCATCAATTGATCATGGTCAACATTTTGATACTCAACCATACGGTCCATACCCAGTGTCGCTGGAGGTGTGATCGGGCGCTTCAAGATCGGAACTGTTCAAAATTGAAGAAAATAAAATTTGCATTTGCACAACCTGTCATTTAAATAATTTCCATCCCCACATATTAAAAAGAAAAATATCCTGAAAGCAAGATTTCAGTAGTCTAATCTTTCCATGTAATTCATCTTTCATACAAGTACAGCTTGAGGGCCAACAACAATTAAAGGTAAAAGCTCTCACCTTGATTTGGTGGGACAGGCAAGGATGATGCCGTAACAACAGCTGCCTGAACGGATGAAGCAGCAGCAGCATTAACCATCCAACCAGCTAAAGCATTAGCATTGGCTGCTGCTGCCGTAGGTGGAAAGGGCTGCGAGCAACAAATAAAAGGTGGGTAAAAAGTTTTGGAGCATCCTGCTATAGCCATAAATTGAATGTAGATAATGAGAAGCTAAGGACAGAAGAAAAATATAGATATAGTCATAATTGTGTTATACCCCATGTGCTCCAAGTGGAGTGTAAGCAGTAGGCTTTGCAACTGCTGCAGCAGGAAGATTGACAGGAGTTGGTGCAAGAGCCCCATTTGTAGGATTGCATGTATGGTCAGTGAACAAGGTTTTAATGTCTGGATTTGGCCTTGGGTTCTTACAGAGCTGGTGCTGCCAATTCAGACTATACAGAAAAAAAGTCAAACTTTGACTTACCAGGCACAAAAACAACAGTGGAATGCCAATTAGCTTACAGACATGAGAAAGGGATAAGGGAAACCTCAAGACATGCAAATCTGGGAGCCAGAGTAAAAAGTAGATTGGTGTAGAGTATAAAATATTAAAAACAGCGTCGATATGAAAAGGATGGAAGTCCTAGAGCAAAACAAACAAGTTAAGCAGCAATTGGTTTATATTGAATATCCTCCAACAAGCTAAGGGCATGATCCATGGAGAAGCAAAAACAATAAAGGGAAGGAAACTTAAAAAGAGGATATAATATTGTCATGGTCTAAATCCACTCTTACAGAGCCATAAACTCCTGGAATAAAGGTATACATATTCATCGATTCAGAAGACCAGTTACCTTTGATTAATAAGGGTTCTCAATCTAGATGACTTCAAGGTGGGAAAAACAAGTTTTTCACGGAAAAGCGGATTTGCTTCAATTAGCTTTTTAAGCTCTATCAACATTATGCTCCGTGCTGTCTTTGTGTCACCATACTTGGAAAGCTGCTCATTTTCTCTGCCATAAATAAAATTAAGCTTTGAAATGCTGTAGTTTTCAATTGCAATTGCAATTGCAATTGCACTTGAATGAATTGTCGGAAATTGATAATAATGACACAGCACCATATTATCAACCCAAAATATGCATCTAGCATCTTAGGAAAGAAACAAGTACGTTTGTTTGCTTAAAAAAGAACCAAAGTAAATGCCAGAGATGCCTCACTCATTTTATCTTATATGCATTCTCAATATGTACATTTGGCTAACATGTCTACGACACTTGCTCAGGAGTTCTAGCCAAATAACTATTTCATTCAAGCTGCATTGCACATTTTAGGAATATATACATAGCAATGTGAAATATTTTGTAATTTCATCTTTTGATCCTCCAAGTATACACGAAAGCTTTACAACAGCTGCATTATCTAATTTTTCTTTAAGCAAATCCAATATATACCAAAACTTATCACATCACGTGGTGGTAGATCTTTTATCCATGTGCATATAATTAAATGCATTTAAAAATTTAATGAGGTCAAACATGATAATGGTCCTCCTTAATAAATACAACAATCCCACTTCCTACCCAACTTTTTAGGTTAAGATAGTTTCTCCAGGATTTACTTACTTAATCTTCCCCAAGCTATGTTACTCCTTCCATTCAATGCACCTCTATCCAATCAAATCCGCATTTTATTAGAAAATTAAGGGGGTTATTTAACAAAGCTTTTGATAGAAGTTTGGGTAGATTTTCTTAAAAGCCTATCAAATGTGTAGTTGAAAAGTTGAAGTTGTGGGTCACATGAAATGTGGGATTAAAATTGAAGCTTCTGACCAGTTGAAATGTTGATAAAATTTAAACCAAGTTTTATCAAATAAGCACTAAAAGTCTTCCACCTAATACCTCAATGCCCATATCTTGTCTTACAAGTTACAAGAAATTGATTTCAGCGAATAAACTTGGATAGTTGATAATGAGTGAATTTAAAGTGACATTAACCAAATGTACAGTTCCAAAACATGAGATCCTAGATTACTGGGCAACATGAATAATTTCCATTCATATAACCTAAACTTCTCAAATAAGAAGCTGCAACACACTTGCAATACAGTGTAGATTTTTCATAACCAATCTTCAAATTTTCAAGATGGTAAATTTTTTAAAAACTTCTTATTTTTCCCTTGCGGTTCCTGGAATGCAGAAAATGAAGATTTTATAATCAGATTACTAATAATGAAATTCTTTTAGTGTCATTAATGCTCAGTCTCCTTCAATTTAATATTCCTCTAGCAACATTATGCAGGGATTCAAAAATTTGAACTCTAATTTTTCTCAATATTTTTTTTCCCCGTCAACACATTTTTCAGGGTTCGAATTCCAAAAGTGATGAAGCATAAAGTCAAGGCTGTCTATAATCTGACCATAAGTCAACACTCAAGCTCATAGCATAAGGAATGATGTCGTGCATATTACTAGGTGAATATACTGATGTTCCTTGTACCATATTAAAGGAAATAAATACTACCTGAAATTGCCAAGTGTCAATAGCTGAGTAATTTCTTTGTACAGATCCTCATTAAATGTCGAGAACACCTTCAAGTCATTCACTAGTATCTCAACTGCCTTCGCTTTGTCTTGCCTGTCGATATCAATAAATATGCAAAAATTCACACCCCCAACAACCACCAAGAAGGGAAAAAAGAGAGAGAGTATACCAATTGAACTCTTTCTTTAATAAAGGAAATGTAGCAGAAAATCATAGTAGATGTATATCAATTTACCGATCAAGTGCTTCAAGGTACTTCTGCTTCCTTATCTCAAAAAAGATTTTCATGGAGTATCTGTTATCATCGACCTTAGTAAAACCTGACAAGTACTTCTCAACTTCCTCCCATTCACCAGAATGCACTTTCTCCTCGAAATATTTCATATTAAAGAAAAACCCTGACTCCTGCTCAAGCCTACAAAGCAGAGTATCCACATGAGCAACCCATAAGCAATTACATCAAAAATTTCTAATTTTGTTTAAGCAAATCTCAAAAGTCGTCCGTGTTTAACAGAACTTCCAATACCTTTTTCCTTTACCAATATTAAAAAGTATAGTCAAGTGTGCAGCCAGTTATTATAGCTTTCCATTTCCTTTTGTTTCTGTGAAACGTCTCCAGAACCAACCATCAACTAACCCTTTTCCACACTAAAAAGTTCTTATTTCAAATACATATTAATATCAAAATTACTTCGATAATTTCAGCTCGAATTTCCCAAAACCAGGAACTTTAAAACTCGTCAACAATTGAGCTTCATTTTTTATTTTTACAAAACGCTCATAACAAATTCAAACTTTAAAACCCAATATTTTCTTATCGTTTTCCCATCAAAAAAGTAAACTAGACCCATCAAATCATAGAAGTACCCACACATAACAGACAAAAAACAAATATGCAATTAATATACTTATATACATACCTGTGAACAGACTCCTTGAATTTCTCCTCCTCAAGGAACTGGAGTATGAGGAAAACCAATTCTCTGCTCAACGACGACATTTCTGAATCTTCTTCACCTCAGACTCACAAATCCAAGCAAAATACAAAAAGCTCACAACAATCAACAGATCGAGGCCCTAGAAACCAACCCACCCCACCACCGACGACCTTCAGCTCCGGATTCCTAGGGTTTCTCTAAAAACACCGAAAAAGGAAAAGGCTGCGAGAGAAAAGAAAAAAAAAAGCAGGAAATTGGAGAAAAAGATAGAGAGAGAGTGCTAATATATATAGATAGAAAGAGATGTATATAGAGGTGTATGTATAGAAAGAGTGAGTAAAATTAGAAGTGGTGGTGATGGTGGTGGTGGTGGTGGTGGTGGTGAGATAAATGAATTGGTCTCGCTATCTTCAGTGCATTTGCCAGTAGTCCATCTTTTTCTACGACTATCGCTGATAAGTATGATGACTTATAACTTCTAAAGGAATCATCAATGATAAGCCAGAGCACTTATCTTATCTTGCGTGGGATGTGGGAGATGGCGGATTTGAAATCCTTAACTCAAATATAGTTGAGTGTATTGTTTGCGTTACAGGCGGTACTCGTGTCGCGTTCCTTAATATTTAGCTCCTTTTTTATAAAAATTAACATTAAAATTTTAATCTAAATCTAAATCAATAATCAATTTTAATCACATATTTTATGGGACGCATTTTATCAACTTTCATCAAAATTTACTAAAAAATTGATTTTAATCTTCACCAAACAAGTAAATGAAATGAATATCTAACCAAACTCTCTCATATACTCATTTATAAAAATAAATTGACAGTTTTATCTTAATTATATGTATGGGTCAACCGAGTTTTGTGTATGTGTACTTACGCATCTACACGCCTTATAGTTGAATGATATATACTTATAGGGTACACGTCAGAAAGGGACGAAAGTGGGCGGAAAAATGTTGACTGACGACGATCCTTACATTTTCAATATAGTCGTATTACAACGGGAATAAGTGTTAAGACACCAAACACACGAGATTGTGATCTTGATCATTGCATTTTAATATATTGAACAACGTGATAATGACTTCACAAGTCTCACTGGATGTTAGCCTTCAGCACAGTTAATGAATAATACTTTTCATTTCGAATAGAATTAAGTATCTTAAAAATCAGATAATTACGTAGATAATATTTAAAAAATTATACATTAGTCGAGTTAAAGTATGATCAAAGATTGGAGAAATATTTTGAAATATATGGACTAAAGGAAATGAAAAAAAAAAAGAAGGAATTTCCAAAAAGAATAATTTGTCAAATGCTTGTATTAATTAACTCCAAAGTTCCATAATTTATTTTAATTATTATTAAATTCACTAAATAAAAAAACTTTATGGATTGCATGTGACACGAATTCCAGTCATTTCTTTTGACTTTTAATCCTCTTTTTGTCGACAGTTCAAAAGGGAATCGGCTACATAACAGTCCACAGAATTACGGTGCTCTTAACTATGATGTTTCATACAGAATTTTTTAAACGGCTGTGATTTGCCGGTCTAGTTACTTTCACACAGAACATGCTGCACCTGAACATTCTATGTTTTTGTTCGATGTATCTTTCACGTTAGACGAGAAGTTAAAGGCTCAAAATAACGATAATTTGATTAATAAGATAAAAAAATGGGCCCCAAGTTTGAGTTGTCAGTCTACAGAATTGCAGATGCCACGTGTATAGTTAGTTAATATGTACTAGACTCACTTAAATCCTCGTTAGAGCCCCTTTTTTAGCCAAAATACATTTTAGGACAGTGTTTTGTTGAAAAATGTGTAATTAAAAAGTAAAGAAAATTTTCGATTTACGCGTAGAATTATTTTATATGAGAATGCGTGATTGAAAATGAATTTTTTTTTTTTTTAAAATGGGGTGAAACATACTCTAAATGTAAAATTATACAATTTATTTTAAGCGTGCATCTTTCTATATGTAAATGTGGTGGGATAGATCATTTAAGTTATGATAACTCAGACCTTAAACCATTTCAGATCATGACACGTCGACTTGACGTGTCATGATATGAATGTTCTGGACTTCGGAATGTCGTGATTTAAGGGTGTGTTTGAAACCCATTTTTGAAGATAAAAATTTTTAGAATAGTGATTGATAGGAAAATGTGTGGTGGAAAAGTTATGAAAAATTTTAAATTTGTGTATAATATTATGTTATTGAAAGAATGTGTGGTTGAAATGAAGTAATAGAAAAAAATGAGAATAAGAATGAGATAAAAAATGGGTGCCAAACATGGGTTAAATGATCGATCCTCCTATTGGGATGTGGCTTGTACCAAGAAAGGTTCACTTAATTCTATTTATAATTTATCTTCATTCTAATTGTGTTCATTTAATTTTTGTAATTTATTTAGAATAATGTTTTGTTGAAAAATGTGTGATTAAAAAGTAAAGAAAAATTTTCAATTCATGTATAAAATTATTTTATTCGAGAATGCGTGATTGAAAATGAATTTTAAAAAAATGATTTATAAGTGTACAATCATTAGTGGTTGACAACACTTACAACACACTTACATTAGTGTGGGCCCCATCAATTGATTATGGGGCCCACACTAATGTGAGTGTGTTGTAAGTGTTAATTGGTGAGGCCCACACTAATGTGAGTGTGTTGTAAGTGTTGTCAACCACTAATGATTGTACAAATAGCTTTTTTGTAATTTTAATTTAGATGTTATTACGTACTAGACTCACTTAAATCCTTGTTAGAGCCCCCATTTTTTTGTCAAAATACATTTTAAAATAGTTTTTTTTGTTGAAAAATGTGAAATTACAAAGTAAAGAAAAATTTTTGATTTACGTGTAAAATTATTTTATATAAGAATGTGTTATTGAAAATGAGTTTTTAAAAAATGTTTTTTTTTTTTTTAAATGGGGGCGAAACATACTCTAAATGTAAAATTATACAATTTATTTTAGTGTGCATATTTCTTTATGTAGATGTGGTGGGATAGATCATTTAAGTTATGATAACTCCGACCTTAAATCATTTCAAATCATGACACATCGACTTGACGTGTCATGATATGAATGTTCTGAAGTTTGGAATGTCGTGATTTAAATGATCGATCCTCCTATTGGGATGTGGATTGTACCAAGAAAGGTTCACTTAATTCTATTTATAATTTACCTTCATTGAAAATTGTGTTCATTGAAAAAAAAAAAAAACCACAAGCGTCTTGTCAAAAGGCGAGCCGAGTGGCTCGTGGGTCGTTTTTTGACGAGCCGACGAGCCGCTCGGCTCGATTGCCATCTCTAAAAAATGAGGGTTAAACATACTCTAAATGTAAAATAATACAATTTATTTTAAGTGTGCATCTTTCTAATTTATCTTCATTGACAGCTGTGTTCATTTAATTTTTGTAATTTATTTCAACTCTTACATCTTCCATCCTGTTCATGGAACGTATAATTAGTGCAACACACGCTCTCAATTCTCATTTTGTTTTGTCACACGTACGTTGAAGATGCTTTTAGTAGAAAATAAAAATGCATTAGTAGCCTGAACACACTCAATTATTTAATACATACATATTTATAATTACGGAATAATAATTAATTTATTATTTAAATAATGAGAAGTGCAATAATAGAATAGAATATGTGAGAACCATTCGTGGATTAATTGGACAAATTATAATTAGTTTATGAATTGCATGTGCATCTTCCACCAAATTATTCATTTACTTTTTTCGCCACCTTTTAAATCAAATGACAACATTGGCAAATCCATGTTTCAATTAATCTCAAAAGTGAAACTTTTTGATCCTTTAATTGATTTTGTTTCGAATTAGAGAGGATTTGATTAACTTTGACCCCTTTTGAAAGTAATAATCTTTTAATATTTGTCTCTAAATGGATATTTTGGAAAAAATAAATTTAGACTCGAGTTGCAACATGGCACAAATCTATATTTATAACCTATAATTTATAATATATCAGCCGCTGTTTGGTGTAGATTAAAATCAAATTAAAATTTTAAATCAAAAGTCGACAATTAATTTTCATGAGATCCATAACTCTTTAATCACATATTTTTATTAATTTATATTGAAACCTACTAAAAAATTGATTTTAATCTACATCAAACAAGAATAAGTTTCGCATGAGATGGGAATGATTTTTTGGATGGACAGTGTTACATGTACAAGTAGCTTGATAGATGCATGTTGATCGATTTGAATTTTTGCAATTCAAAATGATCGACAGATGCATGCCATGCATTTGTAATACTATCTGTACAAACAGCTCTATCCTTTTTGGACAACAATGACATTATTAATTTATGAGTTTGTTAGGGAGAGATTTTTGGGGGAAGAATTGATTTTGAATAGTGATATATGATGGGAAATGTGTGGTTGAAAAAGAAGAAAAAATTATTGATGTGATGAAAAATATTATTTTATTGAAAAATGTATGATTGAAAATGAGAATTAATTTACTGTAGAAAAATCTAAATCCCACCAAAACAGCGCATGTGTGATACTTGCCCTCAATTTTTTATATAAGTAGTTTTACACATAAATATAAAAGCATTCACCCAAAATTTAGTGAAACGCTCATCAATATCGTCCAAGTAGAGTTTAATTCAATATACATGTAAATTGTAGGGGTGGGTGCGAGTTTGTTCGGTTCGGTTTTTGTTCAATTCCAGAAATTTTCGCGTATTTAGTAAATGGAACCATCAGTTTCAAATATAATTTTGGAACTGTTCGGGTTCGGTTTGGTTCGATTCCGTTCGGTTCCGTACTATAATTAATTTTTTTAACATTTAGAATAATACTACATAAATATACCTGAAAGTAAATACTAATATTAATAGCAAAAAGTAGATACAAATACCAAATTCAATATTTACTTTTACAAATTAACGTAATCTAATTTAATAACACGTAAATAATAAGTTGTTAAATACAAATACCAAAAAATAAATATTACTAGTAAAATTTCGATAATTCATATCAATAATTCATTTTTCAAACATTCAAGTC